CTGGGTGGGAGACAGAAAGACCTCCATGTGCACGGGGCCCTAGGCTGCCGGAGGGGGGACCCAAGTACACTCTGGGCTGCCCCTACCATGGCAAATGGGGTCATCATGCGGCGGAGGCAACTTGTTGAATGAAGCAAGTGATGCCATCCTGAAAGTGACCCTGTAAAGACGGGCACCTGAGGGGGCAGGGGGCGTAGGGCCTGCAGGCAGCCACCAGGTGGTCAACAGCCCTGGCGCTGCAGGGGCACAGGGAAGGGCAAAGGGGCGGTGCCACGCCATAGGAAATGAAGAAATGCCTGTGACCTTCCTGCAGAGGCCCAGAGGGGATGAGTGTGGAGGTGGGGTACTGGGCGGACAGGAGAACGCGGGGCAAGGCGGCTAGTCAATGCTAGCTATAAGAGGTAGTGTGAAAGGTCAGGATCGGTCCCTGCTTCCAGTCAACAAAGTTTCCCAGATGCCGTGACATGCTGGGTGCTTAGCTGGGCGGAGGGACCAGGGACTCTGAGGTAGAGGCCTTGACCTAGGCAAGAGCACGCTCTTGGGCAGGGCATGTGTGCACTTCTGAGAATGGCAGCCCAGGCCTGGGGAGGTCAGGGGCCACGTGGCCCTAGAGCTTAGGGTCACAGGATGCAGCTACCCCTCCCTGCCAGCACCCAGCCCTTCCTCGGCTTTCATCAGAACTTCCAGACACGTGCATCAGCTTCCTGGGACCTCTAGGCAGCCCAGAGCCTGGGCCGGGAGAGGGGCCCAACGCTCCATGGCTTCTCTTTGTCCTTCCTGGCAGGAGGGTTCTCTGAACACTGTGTGATGACCCCCTTCCAACACACATACACAGTCACACGGTCACATAGCAGAGCATTTCTGCCTCCTGCCAAGGTCACATAGCAAGACACTCTTGGCTCAGCGAGGAGTTGCCAACGTGCCTTTGAGCAGCTATTCCCCAGGTGGGTGGGGACCAAGGGACCAACCCCCAGGGCAGCTGTTTTTGCCCAGAACCCCCAGAGCTGCAGCCCCCTCCTACAAGGCACCTTCCCTTCCCCTGCCTTTCCCAAAATCAATCCTGACATCTCCTTAAATCGAAGTCAGCCACAATGAAAGGGTGGTGCGGAATTTTGTTTACCAATCCTGGCATCTAATTAAAATTAGCTGATGGTTCTTCTGGTTGGTTTTTTGTTCTGACTGTTTTTAAGGCAGAGCTGCTAGATCAGTGCAGCCACTAGTAAGCTGTCAAATCAAATTTTCAAAAGCAAATTGCTTTTATAATTAATTTAATTATTATTACGGCTCCCAGTTTTGTGTTGCCTTAATGAACACAATCAGGTTTCACCCTCCGCTTTTCCCCCCCCCACAGGCACTCAGCACCCCCTCGCTTCCCCAGACCCACCTTCCACCTCTCCAATCCAATGTGGGCAAATGGAAAAGAAAGAAGGGCAGACACATCCCCGGGCCCCTCCCCAGACTCCCCGGGCCCCTCCCCGCTCACACCCTCACCCTCAGAGTGAGTAATTAAAGCTCTGCTCCCTGTTATGGGGTAAACGGTGCATGTTTTAATTACCCCTGAGCCTACCCAGGCATCCTCACACCCCCGCCCAAGTCTGTGAACCCGTGGGGGGCGGTGGGGGGCAGTTAGGAGGTAGAGAGAGAGTGTGTGTGTGCTTCTGTGACAGTGACAGCAGTCTGTCACCCAGGGTCTGGAACTCACTGGGGAACTGTCAGTTACTAAGGAAACTAGGAGGAAGAGAGGAAGACAGAGAGGCGGGTAGATCCAATTCTGGGTGACAAGTGTGAGGCACAGAGCCTGCCGTCCCCTCTGTGCGTCCTTTCCTACGGGGAGAGGCCTTAGGGGTGCACAGGGGCAGGTCACCGAGGAGGCGCCGCCTGGGGATGACGCCCCGTCAGGGGCCCAGGCAGGTCAGGGGCCCAGAGGCCCAGAGGGAGGGGCGGCCAAGGGCCAGGACAGTGTCCAGAAGCAGCTTGTGTGCGTGTGTGCACGTGCCTCTGTGTGTGTGTGCACACGTGCGTGTGTGTCTGTGTATTTTCCGTTTTCTGTCTTTCGGGTGTTTCCTTTTTCCTTTTGTTTTCCTCCTTCCTTGGTTTGCAATTTAGCTCATTTCTAGCTTTTCCTTTTTGTTGTTGTTCTGGTTCTTCTGTGCCGCCCCTCAGCCTCTCTCTCTCCCTGCTCCTCGTCTGCTTCTCCTTCTCCCACTCCGCGCCCTCCCCGAGTCTTCTCTGTTGGCCGCGGTCTGTCTCCCTCCCGCGGCCCCTGTCTGCCCTGCTCCGTGTTTCTCAGGCTCTGGCCCAGACTCGTCCCTGGGAACCACAAGGGCGGGAGGCCTGGGGGCGGCCAGCATCCATGCAGCAGGGCCTCCCCGGCCAGGCGCGGCCTGGTTCCTGCTGCCCAAGGAGACACGGCGCCGGGCAAGGCGGGGTCCTGGGCCGTGCCTGCTGAGAGCATCGGGGCAAGCTCTCCGATGATGCCACTGGGATGGGTGCCCAGGGGCCGCGGCACCCAAGTCCCGTTGTTTCTGAAACAGGAGCAGAGACCAGGATGGAGGGGTGAGAAGTGCGGGCAGGGCCAGGAACCAGCCCAGGAAGATGAGGGAGTCGGGGGACGGCGGTCCGGGGCTGGCTTCGCAGGGCAGGCCCTGAAGATGCCCGCTGCACCGGAGGGCAGGGCTACCGCCCGGGCTGGCCAGAGGGGTGGGGCCTGCCCCCGGCAGGAATAGCCCCAGTGGTGGGGCGGTGAGGTGCCTTCCTCTCCAGAACCAGGGTCCTGGGAACGCCTCCGGAGGTATTGGGTCCCTTTGCGCCCCCACCCCCACCCCCGCCCAGGCATCCACCCTCCCACCTGCACGGACCCAAACGGGAGGCAACTCAGGGCCCTACACCAGGGGGCGCGCTCTGGCCAGACACGTGACCTCGGCCTGGAGGCACTTCCAGGACGCCAAGGTGCCCTTGGAGCCAGAATCCCCGCAGGAGCCCAGGGCCGAGGTGTGAGGCCTGGGCCCTGCGGAAGCTGCCCGGACGATGCACCGGCTATGGGCTGATGTGGCGCCGTCCAGCACCTCCAGGTAAATGCTCCCGCCAAGGCCTCTGTGTAGAGCAAGCCTGCCACCTGGTGGTGAGGCTACCCAACTACACGCCCGGGCTCCCGAGGGGTCCGGCCCCACGTGGCCCCCAGCGCTGACCCCCGAAGGCGGTGCTGCCTTGTTGCAGCCCCTCTGGGCCCTTCTGACAGAGGAACAGCAGCAGAAAAGCCGAAGGCAGGAATGGGGTTGGGTCCAGGGTCTGATCAGGGGGCCCAGGGGCAAGGCCTGAATGGAGCGCCTTGAGAAAAAGCATTTCAGGCCTCCAGGCTGGTCCACCCACCGCCTCCCGGGATGCGGACGAGGAAACCGTGGCACGAAGACCCAGAGCCCGATTCCACTCCCGGGGCACCACCACCCGTCACCCAGATGGTGGTTCTTCCCATGGCCCAGAGCCCCTGATGTGGGCGCGGGGACAGACAGGCCGCGGGGCCCAGCTTGCAGGAGCTCACGCGGGGACAGAGGTACAGCAGCGGGCATCGACGACAGGAAGCTCCGGAGGCCACCGGCCAGTGGCGCGGGGCCGGCTTTGGGGTCGCCTGGTCCGGCGGCCTCCACACACAGACATGTTCATATGAAAATTTACGTTTTATGACTACCTTGATAGAGACGTGAATATACTTATGCTATAAAAGTATTTTCTTCAACCTAAAAGTTCACTGCTTTTCTTCTGACTGAAAAGGAAATTTAAGTATTTTTGTGCGCCCAGTGGATACATCGGCTCTGAGTCAAGCCCCCTCATCTTGCTGGTGAGAGACTGAAATCCAGAAGAGGTAAGGGCCTCCCCAGCGACACACAGCAGGGGCACTAGAGCCACAAGCGGGTCCCCCGGCTCCCAGGCTGGGGCTTCCTCCACTGCCCGCTTAACCTTCCTCAGCAGAGAAAAGCCCCGGCCACGTACACCGCAGACCAAGGAAGAGCCCCAGCCCAGCAGGGCCCCGCAGTCGCCCACCATGTGGCAGCCCTGGCTGGGCTCTGCCCGCTCCTCCCCACCGCCTGAGGCAGAAGCCTTCCTTCCGCCAGTCCTGGCCCTGCAGCCAACTTACCACCACCACAGCTCTTTGGCCTGCTGTCTTATTAATTCCTAATTTCCAATTTGCAAGAAGAAAGAGCCTTAAACCTCCATCTCACCAGCCTGGCAATCACACAGATGATCCAAGCATCTCTGGACAGCCTTTAATTTATTTCCCAGCGCACGCGGGCACCGCTGAGAGACTTGATGGCACCAGCTTAAACATAATAAATTACTCAAGTACCAGAGATTAGTTAATAAAGCTCCAGGCTCCCTCCCAGCCCCTGCTGACTTGGTCAGGGACACCAAAGATTCCTTTGAAGATGCCCAGTGTGGGGGAGTGGGGCTCAGCGGTAAGTGTCCCCAGGCCCAAGCCAGACGTCCAACCCTTGATGCCAGGCAGAAGTTGTGACGTGGGTTGAGAAGCAAGGGCCTCAGAAAACTCCAGAAAAAATGGACTCAGGCATGTTCTACTCCAGGTCTCAGTGTATCAATGCAAGTCATAATCTAATATCTAATGTTCCGACTCTTGCTTAGACAGCGCTGGGAAGCCCAGGCCCAGTACCTGCCCAGGAAGGAAGGAAGGTGCCCGTTGCCTTAGGAGCCAAGCAGAGAGAATGGAGATGCTTTTCTTGAAGACACAAAGGGTCCGGGATAGTCTTTAAGCATCTGAAGGCCCATCCCTGCTCCTCACCCCAGTTATCTGCCAGGTGTGTCTTCACTGGGCCTCGCATCCATTCCAGGTGCCACCTTCTCATGCCCAGCACCTCACCCTGCAGTGGTTCCCCAGCAGTTCTGCCCCACCCACACGCACAGCCCACCGCGCCCCGCATCAGTCACTCCTCTGTCTGCACACGTCTCGTGCTCTTCCATTGCCTGCCTAACAAAATCTGGCTCCGTACCTGGAATTCACTGTCTTCCTCTCATGGCTGCAAAAGTAGGGGGCTGGAAAGATGCTTGAGGAGGAGGGTGGAGCTGGCCTTCCAGGCCGCCTCAGAACCTGGATTCTCATCTGCTTGGCTGGCTCAGCAACATCCTGAAAGAGACAAAGAAATGGATGAGTACTCCGAATCGGGCCCTAGCCCACGGCACTGGGAGAAGGGCGTCAGTGCAGAGGGGCGTCAAAAAAGTGCCAAGCATTGGCCCGCACCCTGAACTGTCTCTGGGATCTCCGTCACCCTCAGGCACCTTCCCCACCCTGGCCTCAGCCCAGACAGCCAGGCCTAGAGATGGCGAGGAAGAGAAGCCAAACCACCGCACCCTCCTCCGCTCTCCTTTGCTGCCTCTGACACCAAAAGCAGAGCTCCTGGCTCCCGGGTCCCCTGGCCACTCCCAGCCCCCACGCGGATCCGCGTGGTCCCAGGTCAGAGCCGTGAGCAGGAGCTGGTCTTCGTCCCCAGCCCCGTGGATCCGTGCTCCAGAGGCCAAAGAAATTGGGACGCACAGTCACCTTTGTTCCCAGGCACTAGTATTACTCATTATTATCAGTAATAAAAATCTCTCCAGTATCTCTAATTCTTTCCTTCCATAATGCTCAAAATACTGCCTACACATGCTCTTGTTTATGCAGAGAGGGCCTCCCTTCACACAATAGACACTGGCTGAATATGGTATAAATTGAATCACATTATAAACGCACCAGGGGAATCCTAACATGAATACTTTTTATAAAGTGAATAATCATCCCCTAATTTACCATTACTGTAAACCCAGTTGTTCATATAGCAAGTTTGTTTGATGTGAGCACAACCTGAGTGTGTACACACACACACATGCATGTGCACCCGGGGGGGCGGGGTGGGGGTGGAAGCCACAATGCCTAGTATGATGCCAGCACAAATTAGCACAATAAAAACGTTCTGATAGTGATATCGGAGAACCAAAGCACCAAGGATCAACTCAGAGCATTGATCCCACGGAAGGAAGAGAGAAGCCAAGGCCCCAGAAGGAGCAATGTCTCACGGGGGTCACCCATCTCCCCAGAGGTCATTTCCAGGTCTTTACAAGACCATCAGGGTCACAAGGAGAGAGTGGAGGAGAAAAATGAGGGGTGACTGGCTGGCAAGCAGGACTGATCCTGAGGAGTGTTAGGGTTCCTATCAGTTCCTGCAGGTTCTGGGGTGGAGCGAGCCGTGAGACGCGTTAGACGGGATGCCCTGATTTCAAGCCAGCATCTCAGGGGAGTGAGATCTCAGGGGAGGCTCCCCTGAGCCCCTGATGACAGAGTCCTGGGGTCCAGGAGCAGGCCCTGCTTCTACCTGAGGGGCGCAGCCCCCCCTGACCTCCTTCTCCAGGCCTTCTTATCCTGGCCTGCCCCCTCCAGGCACACATCTGTGGACAGGCCTCCAGAGACTTCCCTGCGGACACCAGGGTTTGGGCAGGTCTAAAACCCATGGTCCAAAATTCTTTCTTTCTTACTTTCTGTTAAAGAAGAGTTGATATACAATCTTATATTGGTTTCAAGTATATAACACAGTAATTCAACACTTCCCCACATTATTAAATCGTGACCCGAACTAGTGCAGCTACTATCTGACAACATAGAAAGATGTTTCAGAATCATTGGCTATATTCTCCATGCTGTACTACCATCCCTGTGACCATTTTATATTATGATTGAGGATTTTTGTGCACCTTTATCCCCCTCGCCCTCCCCACACACCCCAACTCCTCCCCATGGTAGCCACCAGTCACTTCTCAGTGTCTTTGATCTACTGCTGTTTTGCTCATTTTGTTTTGTTTTGTTTCTAGATTCCACAAATAAGTGAAATCGTATGATATTTGTCTTTCTCCGCCTGACTTATTTCACTGAGCATCATATCCTCTAGATCCACCTGTGTTGTCACAAATGGCAGGATTTCTTTTTTTTTAATGGCTGAATAATATTCCATTGTGTATATATACCATATCTTCTTTATTCATTCATCTGTTGATGGACACTTAGGTTGCTTCTATATCTTGATTATTATAAGCAATGTGGCAATAAATGGGTACATGTCGTTTCAAATCAGGGATTTTGTTTCTTTGGGTAAATTCCTAGAAGTGGAATTACTGAGTCATATGGTATTTTTATTTTTAGTCTTTTGAGGAACCTCCATACTGCTTTCTACAGTGGCTGTACCAACTGACATTCCCACCAACAGTGTAGGAGGGCTCCCTTTTCTCCACATCCTTGCCAACATTTGTTATTTCTTGTCTTTTGGATAGTGGCCATTCTGACTGGTATGAAGAGACATCTCATTGTGGTTTTGATTTGCATTTCCCTGGTGATTAGTGATGTGGAGCATCTTTTCATGTGCTGTTGGCACATGTATTTCTTCTTTGAAAAAATGTCTGTTCAGGTCCTCCACTCATTTTTTAATAGGATTATTTGTCTTGTTGGTGTTGAGTTGTATGAGTTCTATATTTTGGGTGTTAACCACTTATGGGATAAATCATTTATGAATATATTCTCCCATATTGTAGGATGCCTTTTTGTTCTTCTGATGGTGTCCTTTGCTATACACTTTTTAGTTTGATGTAGTCCCACCTGTTCACTTTTTATTTTGTTTCCCTTGCCCAAGATGTGTCCAGAAAAAAATTGCTCATGCTTATGTTCAAGAGATTTTTGCCTATGTTTTCTTCTAAGTTTTATGGTTTCATGACTTATATTTAGGTCTTTGATCCATTTCAAGTTTACTTTTGTATATGAAGTTAGACAATAATCCAGTTTCATTCTTTTAGATGTAACTGTCCAGTTTTCCCAACACCAGTTATTGAATAGACTGTCATTTCCCCATTGTATAATCATGGCTTCTCTTTCATACATAAATTGACCATATATGCCTGAGTTTGTAACTGGGCTCTCTATTCTGTTCCATTGATCTATGGATCTGTTCTTGTGCCAGCACCAAATTGTCTTGATTACTGTGACTTCATAGTAGTTCTTGAAATCAAGGAACATAATCCCCCTGGCTTTGTTCTTTCTTTTCAGGATTGCTTTGGCTATTCAAGGTCTTTTGTGGCTCCATATTAATTTTAGGATTATTTTCTCTAGTTCCTTGAAAAATGCCATTGGTATTTTGATAGGGATTGCATTGAATCTGTAAATTGCTTTGGGTAGGATGGCCATTTTGATGATATAAATTCTTCCTATCCATGAGCATGGGATGTATTTCCATTTATTGGTGTGTCCTTTAGTTTCTCTTATCAATGTCCTATAGTTTCCAGAGTGCAGGTCTTTTACCTCCTTGGTTGGGTTTATTCCTAGGTATTTTATTCTTTTTGATGCAATTGTAAATGGAATTGTTTTCCTGAGTTCTCTTTCCACTAGTTCATCATTAGTGTATAAGAATGCAACAGATCTCTGTGTATCCTCCAACTTTGCTGAATTCAGTTATTAGTTCTAATAGTTTCTTGGTAGAGTCTTTGGGATTTTTCTATATAGAGCATCATGTTGTCAGCAAATAGTGACAGTTTTACCTTTTCCTTATCAATTTGGATGTCTTTTATCTCTTTATCTTGTTTGATTGGCATGGCTAGGACTTCCAGCAGCCATGTTGAATAGAAGTGGTAAGAGTGGATATCCTTGTCTTGTTGCTGATTTTAGGGGAAAAGCTTTCATATTAGCTGTGGGTTTGCTGTATGTGCCCTTTATTATGTTGAGGATGTTCCCTCTATACCCATTTTGTTGAGAGTTTTTATCATGAATATTTGATGAATTTTGTTGAATGCCTTTTCAGCATCAACTGAGATGATCGTGTGGTTTTTATCCTTTTTGTTCATGTGGTGTATCACATTGATTGATTTATGAATATTATACCATCCTTGCAATGCTGGAATAAATCCTTCTTGGTCATGACAGATGACCCTTTTGAAGTATTTTTTATTTCAATTTGCTATGCAAAATATTTTGTTGAGGATTTTTGCATCCATGCTTATCAGGGATATTGATCTATAATTTTCTTCTTCTGTAGCATAGTTGTCTGGTTTTGGTATTAGTGATGCTGGCCTCACTGAATGAGTTTGGAGGTATTCCCTCCTCTTCTACTTTTTGGAATACTTTAGAGTATTGCCCCTCTTTAAAAGTTTGGTAGAATTCAGCTGTGAAGCCATCTGGTCCTGGGATTTTGTTTGTTGGGAGTTTTTTGATTACCAGTTCAGTTTCATTGCTGGTAATTGGTCTGTTCATATTTTCTGCTTCTTCCTGGGTCAGTCTTGGAAGATAGACTTTTTTAGGAATTTTCCCATTTCTCCTATGTTGTCCCATTTATTGGCATATAATTTTTTATAGAATTCTCTAATAATTCTTTGTACTTCTGTGGTGTCAGTTGTAACTATCCCCTTCTCATTTCTGATTTATTTTTGTCCTCTTTTTTTCTTGATAAGTCTGGTGAAGGGTTTGTCTATTTTGTTTATCTTCTCAAGGAACCAGCTGTTGGTTTCACTGATTTTTTTCTATTATTTTATTTTTCCCTATTTTATTTATTTCTTCTCTGATCTTTATTATGTCCCTCCTTCTACTGACTTTAGGTTTCATTTGTTCTTCTATTTCTAGTTTCTTTAGTTGTGAGTTTAAACTGTTTATTCGGAACTGTTCTTGTTTCTTGAGGTAGCCCTGTATTGTATGTACTTCCCTCTCAGAACTGCTTTTGTGGATCCCACAAATTTTGGACTTTTGTCATTTTGTTTTCATTTGTCTCCTTGTATTGTGTGTTTTCTACTTTGATTTGTTTATTGATCCATTGATTATAGAAGCATGTTGTTTAGCCTCCATGTGGTTGTGGGTTTCTTTGTTTTCTTCATGTAGTTTATTTCTAGTTTCATACCATTGTGATCTGAGATGTTGCTTGATACAATTTCAATCTTTTTTAATTTACTGAGGCTCTTTTTGTGGCCTAGTATGTGATCTATGCTGGAGAACATTCCATGTATGCTTGAGAAAAATGTGTATCCCACTGCTTTTGGGTGGAGTGTCCTATATATATTTGTTAAGTCCATCTGATCTAATGTGCTGTTCAGTGCCTCTGTTTCCTTATTTATTTTTTGTCGGGATGA